ACCCAGTTAAAAAAAACACCCCCGGGCCAATCTAGCACATTCTTGTCCTTGTCTATGTAGCTATAAGCCTCACTGGGTTCTGCACAAGCTATTCCTGAATATATATGTTTAGGACTGCATTCTAAATAGTTCTGCCTGATAATAACTGGCCCAATAATTCTCTTAAAGCTGCTGTAGAAGAGGGGATCCAACCTTTATTTTCTTTTAAAATTCCAGTTATATTGAATTCCAGTTTATCAAAAATGCCACTGCCAGACTCCTGATGGCATCTGTCAAGGTGCAGCCTATCTCCATGCCTTTATTCATTATTTAAACTTTTCTTTGCATCACAATAACTCCACCCTCAAAGAAAGGGAGGAAGTCCATATCATGATAGATCTCTATCTCAATATACAGTAGGGAAAAGAAAGGAAAAAGGATAGAAAACACAAGAAGGGAGGAAAGTGGAGCATATATTACATTTCAAATATATGAATTAATATAAGCTGTCTATATATCTAAATAAACATCCATACCACTTTGATGGTTGATGGAGAAAGACTCTAATGCAGCAAGACCAATCAGACCCCCAGTCTGTCGAGAGATAAGTGGTGGATTTTTCTTTCTGAGCTTGATGTATAAAGGGCACAATCCTACCACCTTCCAACATCATCTGGGAGGCCAGTGGATCCTTCAGAGTCCCAGTAATCCCAGAGCTGGCACCCAGAAATCTGTCCCCCACCCCAAACAGTTGGCACAGAAATAAGTGAACAGCTGGCTCTGCCCAGGAACTCCTTGGGAGCGAGGACAGGGCATGCGTGGGGGCAGGGGGAGGAGGAGGCTGGGAACTGTGGGCTTATACCAACTCCTAATAGTGCCCCGGTCTCTTTCCACCCCGTGCACCCCCCTTGCACTTTTCCTAGAAGGCCCAAACTTGCCAGTCAGATAAAATGCGGGGCATGAGGGTGCTGAAGGCGGAGATGGCTGCCACCGTGCCTCCCTCCTGCCAGTTCCCGAGACTCCAAGTGCGGAGGCTTACGTGCATCAGCTGTAGGGGTAGTGGGATTGCACCCTAAGGCTTGGAACTGGTGTGCAGCCCAAGTAATATTGCATAATAGGAAGTGGCCCACTAATGTTCGTGCTGGTTTTCTCAAAGCTGCTGGAGAAGAGGAAGCTGTTGTCTGTGTCTCTCAGGCTGGAATTTTGCATGAGCTTCTGAGCATGAGAACATACGCACTGTGTAGGCTGAAATTACAACTTCCTTGCCTAATCTGGCATTTCTGCAGATGTGCTGTGTTGGTGAGATGAGCTCCTCCTTGCTTGATCGAGAGCTTCTCCTTTTATTTTCCAGGTGTAATTGTAGCTAAGTTGGTTTTTAATATTGCTTTTATTTCTTGCTTTTCTCTCTTTTTGCAATTAACTGCCAGATTTTTGTACTGTTTTTAATTGTATTATTGTTTTCTTGATGGTACTGTAGGTTTTCTTGTATTTAACTGTGTAAGCAGCCCAGAGAGCTCTCTGAGCTATGAGGTGGTATATAAATGCAAGAAAGGAAGAAAATAGATAAATAATATATGCAGAAGACGGTTTACATGGAATGAAAGCTCACTTTGAGGTACTCGATCTGAGCCTACATAAGTGAGTTCATTAATTTCCAAGTAAGTAGTGAATTCATTTGGGTAAATTCACCCATTACGAATCCCCATGGAGTGATGGTACATCTAGTACTCTGTGTACCAGTGGCTGGGGAACATGGACAGAAGGGTGCAGCTGAGTGCTTGTGAGATCGTTGGTTGGCAGCCATACCCAAGGTGTCAGATGTACACTTCAGTCTGGTATGGTTCTTGTTATGCTGGTCAATCAAGCATTTGAATGGAATTTTGAAAGGGCCTGATTTCCATTTTGGGGTGAGCACAAGATTGTTTGCCCGTGCCTAAGGTGATGACTCCCTTCTAGGTGCAGTTTCTTGTTTGATGTTGCAGCCATCAAGTGAGCCAATAGTTCACCTGGACCAACGGAGAGTGGCCCTGCTCTGACACACACAATTCTTTACCTGGAGATGCTTGGATATGAACCATGGAATTCATCATAGAAATGCTGTGAAAAGAAATGACATAACATGGTATATATGCTACATATTAGCATTAACCATTAACTCTTTGGATCATTGTCTTTGTTTTCTGGACTTTTAGCTCCCAAGAAAGAAATTTGCTCTACGAAGAAAAGAAAACAGAGCTGCGAAGAACAGAGCTGAAGAAGCTGAAGACACCCAGGGAGGTGGTGGCGCATTCTGTGGGGAAAGCTCATTCTGGGAAAATGTGCCCTAAGTGTGAAATAATTGTCTGCCGAGTGTGTAACATGCTGCATACAGAGAGCAGCTTCATCGCTCACAGTTTGCTGGACCACTATGACAGGGGAATGCACTCCTCCTGCTGTTCGGAATCTGGGCTTTCTCAAGACCACCATGTATGTAAGCACAATCCAGGGCCATCAGAAAGTCCTCGTCTAATGTAAGGTACTGTAACCTCACATTAGAAAGTAAATCTGTGTGGGGGCTTTCTCCACCCCAGGAGCAGGCGATGTGTGGTTTTCAAGATGCTGGACTCCAGCTCCCGCAACCCCTAATATTGGCCATGCCTGCTAGAACTGAGAGTTGCAACTCAGCAATGCTTGGAGGCCACAAGTTTCCCAGCCCTGCTGTATGCTAAGTGTGCAGCAGCTAAGGGGAGAGTGGAAGATTTGCATCTTGTATATATGTGCATGATCTATAGCATGATCTAAGCCCTTGAATAGTCTTATCCGATGCTTTCTGATGGCTCAGTGGCTTACACTCCTGATCACTGTGTCCAGGGATAATTAAGTGGGATTGCTAACAAAGCAAAGGGCAGTGTATTTCCCATGCTGCACTTAAATATAACTGATACTATTTCTCAGATGAGAAAAGACAGAACACAAACTTTGGCAAGTCAGACTGGTATATTTAACAGTAAGCTATGATCTGTTACAAACAGTTTTGTTACTGATCTTGGATATTAAAGTTTTATTAAAGTTTTAAACCATTAATAAATAATATTTGTCTGTGGCTTGTATAGAAAATGGCAGAGACTGGGAGAGATTCCTCTGCCTAGGGTGCAGTCAGGGTGAATTCAGTCTACCATGCAGTTCAGCCTTGCCCACCCTGCTGTGGAGGACTTGAGCCCCAGCCAGCATAGTCAATGGCAAGGAACAGTGTCATCTGTAGTCCAAAACTTTTGGAAAAAACCAACTTGAGGAAGCCTGCTCAATTTGAAGTGCTGCCCAATCCAAATCTACTTTAAAGATGAAGGACTATCAGAAGGATAGTCCTTCGGCGCCAGGCCAAGTCCTTTTTATTTAAACGTTATTTTACTTGTTGAATTTATTTATTGATTTTATATTTATGCCAGGATGTCTCCAGATTTTTATGTGTTTTTATGTATTTGTATAGTTATTTATTTGTATTGGAAGCCGCCCCAAGGCTTTTGCAAATGGGGCGGCATATAAGTGTTCCAAATAAATAAAAAATAAAGGAAGAAAGGGGCCTGGAAGTTGCCCATCTGTAGTGAGAACCTGGGCAACAGATTGGGCAAGGCACACAATTCACCTCACTACAGTCTTCCACACTATGGTGAGATGTATTTCTATTTATAGTAATCATTTCTATTTTTTTATTTTTATATATATATATATATATATATATATATATATATATATATATATAAACACATTTGTATTTTTTCTTCATATCTATCCCCCCTTTTACCATTTCTTTAAGTGGCCATGTCACCAAAGACCATGTCATTCAGCACATGGTAAGTTGTTTGTCTGTATTAGTAATTCATGGCAGATGATCTCCAGTGGGAAATAGCATCTCCTTCTCTCCCTGAGCTTATTTTTTTCCAGTGTTCAGATTTAAACGTAAGGTCTGAGATGCTGTTCCAAGTGGTGCTGGTGTAAGCTGATGGATTTACACATGCACAATTCTGAGGGGGAGGGGTAAGGAAAAATAAACCTCAAGCTTGCTTTGCTGCAGGGGAAGGGTATAGACATGAGTCGTGCTGTAAGGATGGAGTTCTGCTTCAGCCCATGAGATACTCTATGTCAAACCCATACTGGTTTGTTTGAACATCAGGCAACTGCTTGAGCCCTGCATTCATGTACTAGCTCAGGTTGTGCCGTATTAAGGCTCAAGTTTACAAGCCTATCTACAAGACACTTCTAGTCACTCTTGCAAACAAGCGTGTTTGCCTTCCACCCACGATCCTTTGGGTCCAATGAAATATATAGCAATATTGATTAAAAGGCTGGTTGGCTTTTGAAAGGAATGAGTTTGATATGAAAGCTGCTGTCAGAAGCATATTGTGACAATAGGATTCTGTGTTCATTTCGATTAAAAAAAAACCTAGATCAATGAGTGTGATTCACTGGGAATGAAAATTCAGATGAATTATTCCAAATAAGCAAACCACTAGTTCATCATTTGGTTGATTTGCATTGCATTATTTTCTACTATACTAAAAAGTGGCCTGAATAGGGTCTCTTTCTTCCTGTTTATATGGTGACAGTGGGCAAAGGAAAAGAGTGTGTGCAGTAAAACTGACAGTTAATCAATGGGAATGTCCTGTCCAATTTGGCAAACTGGAGCTTCTGAAAAGTATACTTCTTGACAATGTCATGCATTAGGATACGAAGAAATCACAAGCAAGAGGCGATCAGGTGGTTTGCTTATTGATATCAATGTTCAAAGTGTAAGACATGCATCTTAAAAAAAAAACCCTCTATAAAGTTGTGGCTTTTTCCAGTGTGCCTGACTTGGTGGGCATGATGCCAGGAACATTGTTTGCTCACTCTGTAATAGAGCGGAACATTTTGCACTATTGGACTGCAAAACTCCAAATTTACAGGCAGTAGACGACTGACTGGGTCTTCTATGCAAATCAAAATAAAACAAACACAAGTGGGAAAAATAAACCAATATCTGTAATGAAAATGAATGAAAAGTATTACTAAAAGTAATATATTTTAATTACGAAAACCAAGTAGCTGAACAAATATTTTTTGCTTGTACACCTCTTCATAAGGAAAGCCTCTCCCCACTACTCTGCATGTGGGAGAGGAAGAATTGCAACTTAGCTTCACATTTATCACAAACTCTCCATCAAATAGTTTCACAAATTGAAGATTGACAAAATCTAACTGAGAACTATTTCCGAATGTCTACAGTTTTCTTTAGAGAAACACAATCCTCTGACAAAGTAGAATTGTCCTTAATGCTATTATTTTAAAATCATTGCTTTGATCCAAAGGTAACTTTATATACAATTACTTTCATTCATTCACCACCAAAACTAAGAGCCACAAGTGTTCTTTGGTGAGAAAGCAGTAGTTAGTTCACCTCGCCAGTGTTTTAAAACATTTCATGTTAACATCTTTAAACCTATTGCACTTTTAGCTTGAACTGCCCTTCTGTTAAGCACCTTGAAATATGGTACCTCATTTGATTAATTAAAATAAATCCAGTACATTAATAGATTTAGGTTGAACACAGGCATTCTGGACAAGACAAGCAATATCATGGCAGGCTTTAAGAAACACAGTAAAGAACACATTTGATTCTACTTTGAAGTTGCTTATTAAAATGCTGCATTTTAGGTTTTTAAAAACATAAATATTTTGGCACTGACACACACTTTTCTCATTTTGGAATGTATGTGCCTCATAAGCATGTTTTATTTATATTTAAATATAGGCTTTGCATGTATATATCACCATGTATCTTGACAGTACAGTTATGATGGATGTCACTGGAAAAGAGGCCAAAATTTTATTGAAGCTCCTGTAAAAGCTCAGATATTGCAGGATTTTAAAGTAGATGGTCAATACAGTTCAAAGGCAGTCAATGTTGAGGTGGAATTTTCCCAGAGACCATGGCTGTCGCAAATAAATGCAGGCTACATAAATTGAAAACATGTTTACACTCTGAGCAAAAGAATCCATCTCTTTAAATATTTTTCCCATTATTACATGTACAAATCTCTTCTTCTGGAAGCAGTTCAAGATAGTTTCCTGCTGCATCACGGCCTGGAAGTTGTTATTTACAGTAGAATGAATTTGTTTATGGCAGTAAAAAATATGTATATATACACACACAATGTTCACTTGAACAAAATTCAAAGACATCCAAAACACCTCTGATGCTGTTTAGCAATCAGTTCATCTAGATCAAGTTAGAGCACCTTGCCCAACATATAAAATCCCAAATATTTACAGCTTCTCAATGTATCAAACAATAATATAAAAGCTTGGTAGTAGCTTTCAGCGTGCAAAGTCAGCAGAAGTGATTACTGAGAACATTTGCTAAATTTTACAGAATCTTCTCAAAGCATTCCAAAGCAGAGTGCAAAATAATCAGGAGTCATTCAGGAAATTCCCTTGGGTCCATTTTTAGAAAGGGTCTGCTGTCTCCCTTTGAACACTTTAATGTCAGGGTAACTTTAAGCTTAGTGCAAATTCATAAGTCCCCTAGGATCTGTAATCCTTCCGAACAGTGTGTGCCATCCAGTTCACTTTAGTAGTCCAGCTTTCTCTGAGTGCTTCATCAAATTTTTGCTTAAACTGCTTTAGCGCTTCTTCCTCACTCTTTCCTAAGGCAAGGGAGTCCTAAAAGAAAAAAATAGCATTAAAATGGCTATTTTCCTTGCACACTCAATATTATCAATTTCCTTATTTGTCTACAGCCATTATTTGTCTTCCATAGCTAATTAACATTGCTTCACAGCACACAGAATGTGGACCAAAGAACATGTTCTTTATGAATAGCGGTATCTGCTACAAATAAGTAAGTACAAAGTAAGACTACATTCTCTTGCACATCGTCAGCTGCTATCACCAAGAAGGTATGCTGTAAGTTGGAAAGTGTTTTCAAAAAAGGCAGAAACCAACCAACTGATTCACCCCTTGGTACTTTATTAACTCTGACTTCTCCTGGCAGACTCATGTCTGAAAATAGAAGCAAGGGAATTAAATATTTTATTAGCCAGGTTTTGGGTGGAACACCTTAGGGCTGGAAAGATATGAGGGTCCTTTATGAAATATACAAGTTCCAACCATGACTACCAACAGTTTTAGCCAAATCACAATTCTCCATTTGACAGCTGTTTAAATACTGTTACTAGAACTCTTCAGTAACATCAGAAGAGTTGTGAAGATGAAGACAAGGGGCTTGGGAAAAATTTTCAAAACTTTTTTGCTATCTGTTGTAATGAAGGTCTGATGGAGCTCTTAAAGGTAATAACCAACTACCTGTTGTACAATTATCCAGTAGAACAAATGCACAAATAACTTCTGTGATCATCAGTTTAACAAGCCATCCCATTGCTCATAATTTAGACATGTGAAACTAACTGATAACATTTTCTACTCTTTTATTTCCTTGTTTTCTTTTATCTGAACCTTGGATAAGCCAAATTTTGAGTATAAAGTGCTATCAATTAGTTTCTCAAGGCTAAGCTATAAGTATGGTTGCTTGAAAAAGACCAAAGAATCTCAGTTGAGGATACTGGGGAAGGAGTATATCTCCATAATGGAACACAGACTGTACATCCAGAAAGTTCTGATCCAAGGATCTCCAATTACAAGATAAAATGGTACGTTTTGGAAGATCTACACTAGAGAACTTGGGAAGCTGCTGCCCATGGGAGCAGTTAATACTGGGCTAAGTTGAACAATAGTTTCAATTGGGATAAGGTGACTTCATATTTTCATATCATATGAAGATATTCCAACAACTACATTGGTGGACACAGCGCACAAACAAGAAGGAAAAGTAAAAAGCAAATCTGAGATGTATTTTAAGAGTTTTACCTTTAGGTACTGGATGTCTTTAACAGAGGTTAGCTCTGGAAGTCCAGCTGTTAACATCAGTGCAAAGAGAGTGATAAATAAGTTCCCATGTCTTCGCAGAATCAAGTATGCTTCTTCACAGCATTGGCGAAACCTGAACATCCACAGAAAAGATACACAGTAAGAAAGGGGATGAAAAAGTGGGCCAGAGAACTCAGTTGGCCTGATCTGGTTCAGGACCGATTTTTTTGAATAAGACTGACTTACCACTGGTGTTATCTGAGGTAAGTGAACCGTAACACATAAATCACTTTGATTTTACATTTGTCTGAAAACAGACACTAACAAACTAAAGGCTACATTCTGTTTATTTTGAAAATGGACTCATTTGCAAAATGTTTGTTATTCATCCTACAGATGATACAAAAATATTACAGCTGCACTGGCTAGAAGGAAGGCCAATACAGCAATCCAGATTGGAGTACCAAAGCAGAGGCAGCTGGGTAATGGTATGGTTTCCTGTGCATCTTTCTTTGGCATGCAAATGCATGAAGAATGGTTTGTATGAAAGCACAAAGTTAACTAGTTTTGTAGACTGGGAGATGGTGGTTCAGTGCATCAATACTGCAGTTATATTGTGAATGCTAATCAAGTTCACATCTTCTCACATATATAAAGTCTACTCCTAAGCTTTCACAAACTTTGCCTGGGTCCATTAGCCAGCTGTAATTCTAGTAGTCAGTGCAATTTAATACTGTTGTCTTCTGAACTCTAGAGAGGGAAAAATCTCACATTGTACCAAGACATATATGCACACATGCGCACACACACAAGTGAGGGCCAAGCATTTGTTAAATCATTCATACCATGTGTGCAACTTCATTCTTCTCTTGTGTAAGCACACACAGCCCTAATTCATATCAGGGCTGCATCACTCTGGCGAAGAACAATTTAAGATTTCTCTCACCCATTTTTCCACAAAATTCCAAAGGAAGGAGTTTAAGAAGAAGAAGTTTTGCCCCACTTTTTAAAGCTCCATCATCATTTTAGGTGATGGTTGTAGACTTCCATGAAAATGTGGTAGAAGGGAGCTTAACTTCTCTCTGGAAGGTCCATGGTCTCAATCTGAATGGGGACTCTGCACACTTAAGGCACAATGATGGAAGCTACTACGCAAAGCTCCATTATGTGTGCTTTCACTAACTTTTAGTTTGGCCCAGAGAATGAGGAAGTTTCTAAAAGCAAGGGAGATCTCCTTTGCTACACTTCATAGCTGGTGCAAGGTTCTACCAATATTAAGAGCAATAGGCCCATTCTACCTGTCACAGGATGGGAGAAATAAGCTCCTCCTTTGCCCTGACATGACATCTTTCTTAACAACCAATAACTGTTTCCCCATTACCTCAGTAAAAGGATAAGGTCTTTCGTGGTGGTGCTATGAGCCCCAAGTTCAATTATATTTCTGTGCACTGTTCCAACAAGAGATTAACACAAAACTGTTACCACTGCGATAATGCTGCATCAGTATGATTTTGTTCAAAATTGTGACTGTCTTTAATTTTACTGCATGCAGAATTATTTTTAAGATTATGGGCCAGAATTAATGAAATTATTTTGACAAGCTTCATATTTACCGGCCAAATTTTTCAGTATTTCCAGTTTTCCCCTGCTGAATCACATGGATAAAATCATAGGTAAGAATGAAAGGCACCCGCTCTCTTTTAATTCCAAATTTGGATTTGAAGTTTCCAAGAATATGCCCAAAATCTATATGAAAGAGCTGGAAAAAGAATTGCATAAACCAAAATTAGTGTCCCTGGAAAAATAATTATTCCATAATTTAATTGCTCTAAAATCTTCAACACAATCTTATTTATTACAAAACATGCCCCCATGAATTTTTCTCCCAATTTCATCTTATAACAGCTGTAAATATCTATATATTGCTTGTCTTTTAATTTATGAGATATTTTATTAGAAGATCAATAGTGTATCTGACAGATATTTCTAGACAGGAATCAATACTGTATAAAACGTTCAGGACAAAGCTGGTTCATGCTTCTCTGGCAAATTAAGAAGCCTTTAAAAACATATTGAATCAGTCAACAGTGTATTATACTCTTCCCCGTCCCTGCCCCTTTATATGAAAAGTTTATACATGCAGGAAAATGTCTTTAGTATTTTCTTGAATGTCACCTGATTTGCAAGGGATGGTAAACGTTACAAGAAGTAAGCATATTGGCTTCATCAGAGGCTGAAAAGCTACATCACAATTATTGTTAGATGTCACAATCATCTGCTGATGCTTAAGTGAGACAATTCCACTAGGGCAAGATTCTCGCCACAACAGCTCTGTGTGGCGATCATGTATGATTTGCTTAAGATGACTCTTACCTGACCATTCTTTCTAACCATGATATTGTCACTATGTCTGTCTCCTATGCCCAGCACATAAGTAGCTACACAGTAGCCAGCACAAGATAGAGTGAATGCCTCAATAGCTCGATCCAAGTCATCTCTAAAGTAGAAAGAAATAGGAAAATGTTAGAATTGTTTAAAAGCATTAATAATTTTATATCCAATATTTTAAAGTGTTGTTCAAATTCCAGACACAGCTTCATGGATGCATCTTGCTAAACGGAATGGCAAACACAGAAGCTGGCTTGGAGTTGCTTCATATTACCAGTTAGTGACACATTGTGGGTTTACTAGGAACTTTCATAGGAACCTCCTAGCCCACTGTTCTTCACTTCATGAGCATGCTTTATGTGGGGAAGATATGATGGATTCTAACATGGACTTTTGCCTGTATCAAAGGATTCCACATAGACAGGAAACCATGGGTCTAGTACTAGCTGATACAATGTGGGTATCCTGTGATTTATCATTTTGGGTGATCATGAGATGAAATGCTCCTTCTTAGTAACTTGAGTAAAAGACTGGAACATCACAAAGGCTCTGATGATACCAGTACTGAGTCAGCAACTGAAATGTCAACACTTTGCTAAAAATCTTACTTAACAATAACATAATTAAGAGATTATTGCTTACCCTGAATTGTATTCTTTGAGCCAATTTAAGAGGGCATCTTTGTTGAATGCAGCAGCAGCAGCAACATTACTACTATTTAGTTGAATATCTGCAATGGTCTCAGATGAAGAAACTACTTCAATTAAGCCAGAATGATCTCCTGTTGCTAAACAACCATAAGGCAGTATTCTGGGAAAACAGATAAATTATAATTCAGACATGCATTCCAAGAGAGCTTTAAGCACAGACATATAGACTTTTTTTTTTTTTTTGCCTTTTGGTACTGTCCATGGGGTTGTATGGCTGCAAACGTTGGACCATAAGGAAGGCTGAGCACCACAGAATTGAGGCCTTTGAATTGTGCCGGAGAAGACTCCTATGAGTCCCTTGGACTGCAAGGCAATCAAACCAATCAGTCCTAGAGGAGATCAACCCTGACTGCTCTTTAGAAGGCCAGATACTGAAGATGAAGCTCAAATACTTTGGCCACCTAATGAGAAGGAGGGACTCCCTGGAGAAGAGCCTAATGCTGGGAACAATAGATGGCAAAAGAAGAAGGGGACTGCAGAGGATGAGGTGGAAAGATGGAGTCACTGAAGCAGTTGGTGTGAGCTTAAGTGGACTCCGGGGAATGGTGGAGGACAGGAAGGCCTGAAGGAATGTTTTCCATGGGGTCATGATGGGTTGGACATGACTTCGCAACTAACAACAACATAGACTAATTTGAAAGATGGGGTTTCAAAAGTTAATTAATAGCTGCCGTTTCTATCATTTCATAAATAAAGGTCAGAAAACTTCTGGTATTCTGACAACAGATGGCACTATTTCCTTTACGATGCCATAACTAACTGTATGTAGGAAAAACATATTAAAAGAAAGAAAGGATGCACACCTCCACTAGAGAGCTTTCCTGCAATATAAGGCCTTGATCCTTATTTGAGTGGTGTCTCTAAGCAGTTTTACCTTCTGCGAATATTATAATTTAAATTCAGGCATCCTTTGTACTTCAAGCTTCAAGAGCGCTGGCTGTTTGGAGGCCAACTGAGAAGTCAGCAGTGAAGCTTCTTGTAAAGATGGTAGGTTTAGTAAGAAAGGAATTGAGTAGCACAGTGAATGAATAGGACATTAATGTTCGAGAAAGCAGAGAGAGAGGATGCGTGAGTTGAAGTTCTTTAGCTTTGGGACTGGATGCTTCCCATGATACTAGAAAAAGTATTGGGATTTGGAGCCTATATTTTATCTGCATGGTACAGTAAACATGATATTACAATGCTTAAACAGGGCTAGGAAGAGATGGAACAAAGGATGGCACCATTGCCTGAAGATAGAAGAAGTTTTTGAGAAAGGTCACCATAGGATGTACATTGAAAGAAACTGAATAAGCTTTTGTGGAAGATTCAAAAAACATGAATAAGACAGAAAAATAATGCCCACCATCAGCCTGCCATTCAAAGAAATAGCCTTGCAGACATTAAAAATCAAAGACCCCAACACGGCAGGCAGATAGGCACTTGTTACTTGACTACCCAAGAATGTAAGAAGAACCATGCTGGATCAGATTCATGGTCCATCTAGTCCAGGATTTTGTTCATACAGGGGCCAAACAATTGCCTGTGGGAAACTGAGAAGCTGGATATGAGTGTGATTCCACTCTCCAAGTCATGTTCTCCAGTAACAGGTAGACTCCTCTGTAAATGTGTTTGATGTCCCTGTAAGGACACCCAAATTAGTGTCCTTTACTACATCTTATGATAGTTTAAATGCTATATGAAGAAGCATTTCCTTCTATGTGTCCTGAATCTCTCACCAATCAACTTCATGGGCTGACTCCAGTGGGTTCTAGTATTACGAAAAAGGAAGAAAATTAATTACATTAATGTAATTTGGCCAAGCCAAACTTCATCTGCCAGTTTAGTCCTCAAATAAGACCAGAACAACCTCCTGTGTATGTTCCTTCTACCTTTTGCCTACTTTTCTAAGCTTTTTATACTACTCAACCCAACATCTCTCCATGCAGTTAAAAATATCAAATCCCACTCCAGAGTCCAGCAGCTGTACTTCTGAAATTCCTGCTGTCATGCTATTAGGATGTACTTTCAAGCCCTAATCATGACAGGATAATCCTCCGGCAGGTTTTGTTATGTTAAACTGTAATGCTGTGGCCTGCTGTACTTCATGACATTTCAGCTCACCCTTACTTGCAGTTTTCACTGGGCACACTTCCAACAACTTCCCCTTCAAAAGCAGGCAATGATGAAAGCGGCTCAGCCCCCTGAGGATGGGATGCTCACAACTGGAGGAAAAAACATCCTTGTCAGAGAGACATTTTGACAGGAGTCAAGCAGGGGACAAATCCTCAGTGCTCTGGTCATTTCATCCTTGCCTTCAACATCTGTCAGGGAGATTCTTTTGTCCTTATCAAAGAACTATATAAAGACTATTAGTGAAAGATCAATAAATCATCCTAAGAAATGACTATTTGCCTGCTGCAATGTATTACTTCTGTGAGGTGCCTCTAAGTCCACAAATACTGTACCTATCCATTCAAACTTCCTTTTTCAAATAAATTAAATGAGGTTTGGTGCTTTTTGTTATGTCAGAATAAATGTTTGAGCTTATAACTCTCCTTTATCTAGGACTACAGGCTTAAAATAAGTGTCTTTGTTTTCATGGCCACAGCTTC